AGCAATAACGAATTTGAAATATTTCCAGCTGTAATAGGAAAGCTGAAGAATCTACAATACCTGAATCTTAGTAATAACAAATTAAAGTCGTTGCCTGGTGAGATGGGAGAGCTGAAGAATCTAAAAATATTGTATCTCAATGGCAACAAACTCATGACATTGCCAGTCGAGATAAAAAAGTTGTCCGACTCTTTGCAATTATTGGATTTAAGAGGCGGAAATAGTATTTCAGAGGTTGGAGATGAAGAAAAGACACTAGGTAAGAAAGAACTGAAAGAGATATTTAGACACTGCGTCAGATTTGATGGGGATGTTTGGCAAAGATCCCAGTGAGTCAATTATTGCAGTAAATTGATTCACAAACTTGATGTAGTTGTGTTCTCTTTAATCCTGCTTCGTGTGTCTTTACTACATAAGTCTTCAAGCCTTTCTCGAAGAATATTCATTAGTCTGTCTATATCTTTTATGTCCTAGTTTTATAGAAGATATGTTTGAGATATTCCTGGAATCTGAAGTCCTCTTCATGATGGATTGGAACTGTCTTTGGTTGGGTACTCTTAAGAATTCCTCAAGAGTATTTTAATGATACAGCATAAGGGAGTTGATAGAAGATGTGAAACAAATAAAAGCACAGAATAGCAAGATATGATTGCGCAAGTTTAATGACTGTTATAGAGACAAGCCTTTAGGGGACTGAGTTGTTATAATAAAACACGGTCAAAATATAAGAGTAAACTAGCTTTGAGGCTAGGCAGCAGTCTCCTCTGGGCAAGCCGGTAAGTACATCCAGTAACTTCACCCGTTCTTGTTTGGCAATCCTCTAGCATATTCTCTGCCAATGAACACTTTAGGTTCAGCCCTTGGGCGCAGTGGTTGAAATATCTCTTCTTTTTGAATGAATGGACCAAGTAGCTGGCGTACATATAAGTCGTGCTTGCCAATGCTAAGAACCATAAACTGTAACAGCTCATTAGGACAATATCAAAGAACATTGTGTAGAAGATAAAGGTTGAAGAAGGCATATGAATAAAAGTATTTTAAATCAGTATTAAAGACTAATTTAATCAGTTATTGACACC